ACAAATGTTTACAAACTAAATAAAACGGTAAACAATACACACAAATCAATCATAAAATATACATTTATGCACTACTAATTAGTGCATAACAGAGTTATCTGCCAAGTTTGGGAAAAAATGCCATGTTTAAAAGTCTAGTAATGCCAAACTTGACAGAAATTTACTCCTATTTAGGGAATAAAACATGATAATCCTATTTTGGAATTTCAAAACTTTTTTACTCCTATTTAGGGAATTAACTCTTAAAAAAGGTCTCCCTATTCCTCAATCCCTTGCACCAGACGAACGGCCAGCCCTCCTCCTACAGCAAACTTCCTCGCCGGAAAGTTCAACGGAGATGCTCCAGCGCCCCCATACCCCTATATATACCCTAGCTCGCTGGCCGAAGCAGGGGCACCGGCCTCCTGCCCCCCGGCAGTTCCACCCCTGGAAGCTTAGAATGCTATCAAATTATGAAATAAACACCAAAAATTAATATTTTTGAAAGAAATAATACATGATTATGGTGCTAAAATAACTTTTTATATAAAGTTTGAGGTATTTAAATTATATATGCAAGATTGGGGTACTTATTTCACACCCCATCAAAGTTTGGGGTATTTTAATTATTTTTCTCTAGAATATTCTTTAGAAAATATTTTAGGAATATACTCTAGGATATTATTGTATAGAATCTTATAACAATATTCTATCTTTGTAATGTATATTTATAGGGTCTTAACCGAAAAACACAGAAAATCCTTTCCTCTTCAATATTATTTCTTAGTTTATATGCTCTGTTTCAAACCATATTTCGTTATATACTCTGATAGCATCAGAGGATGGTTGCTAGATATTCCGTATATAATTCAGAATTCTATTTTCATGACAAATCTAAACATTTATATATTCACTGTTCATTTCATTTTGTTGCTCAAGTGTTTACCAAAACATTAGTCATAAAATATCATCCCAAGTTATGGCTTTTTTCAAATACCTGACTCTAATTTCAGGAGGGAATGTGAAGATAAACACTTAAAATGACTATTTATTAATCATTAGGATGAAATCATAAGTTAGTTATAGATCTTTCTTGCAACTCCTGCGTTGCTCATATATACTTCGTATATACTATACTCCGTAATTCATAAGTCAAATGAAAACAAGTATCCATTCATTTTGAGAATATTCCCCGAAATAAGACTAAAAAAGTTTGAAAATTCCAAAATATATAGGACTACCATGTTTTTATTCCCAAAAGGCAAAAGGGTCAGATAGACCCTCGTACTTACCTAAAAAGGTCTAATAAGCCCTTATATAGGAGGCTCTTTCCGGACATCACCATTTACGGCGGTTTCCGGTGGAATTTTTTGATGAAATTTTTTTAGCATCTTATTCATTAAGTCTAGTTTATTAATACCAAATTTCAGATAAACTTCAATCGGGAAGGCATTCAAATGAATTCTTGAAGATAACTGCGCTTTTAACTGCGCAGTTATCTTCAAGAATTCATTTGAATGCCTTCCCGATTGAATTGTTAGGTGAATTTTGGTATGCGCAAACTAGACTAAATGAATAAGATGCTAAAAAATTTTCATCAAAAAATTCTACCGGGAAATGCCCCAAATGTCGACGGCCGGACAGAGCCTCCTATATAAGGGCTTATTTGACTTTTTTAATTATGTAAGTTCGAGGGCCTATTTGAGCCCTTTCCCTTCCCAAAATAAGACTATTTACTGTCAAGTTCTGGTAGTATCAGACTTCAAACATTGCAGCATTTTCTAAATTTGGCAGTAATTATTCCTATTTTGAGAATAAAAAACATGACAGTCCTATTTTGAAAATTTCAAACTGTTTAGTCCTATTTCGAGAACTTTCCCATTCATTTTCGATGAATGCCTTTGAGTTTCTCCTTCTAACTACTCCATAAGGTTCATAATTATACATCAATATAAGTCCAATGAAAAAAGCACAAGTTCATTTTCAACCAATATCTTTCTTTTTCTTCTTCTAACTACTTTATAAAGTTCATTATTATACATCAATATATACCAACCATGCTATATAATGAAATTGCCATTGCTCACAAGTTATTTGCATCCCTGCGACATCTACTCTATTATCTATTATAATAATACGACGAACTCACTCTATCAATGTGTTCTTTTCCTGCATTTCAACAGAATCAATATTATTATACACTCATATTTATTTTGCATATCAAGTTAATCAAATCATTAATTGTTATAAATATTTATCTTTTCAATATTCTTTTACTGAATACTCAGAATTAAAACATTAAAATGCCAATTCTCAAAGTAAAAAAGTTAAGGGGTGTCCCCAACTAAGACCGATGGATTTTAAAAAATTATGTATTTTGAAATGTGAGCGGCGCCTACAAGATTTGTGGTGGAATGTTTGTATATGAAGAAAACCATCAAAATCAATTAAAATCCATCCATATAAGTAATACCCGGAGTAATAGAAATCTAAGGAATGTTTGAAAACATCGTTATCTTCATAGATTTCATATAAATTTAAATCAAAAAACACTTAAATTATGATGCATTTCTAAAGGGAAAAATAATTAAAATACTGCAAACTTCGATGGGGTGTGAGAAGAACACTCCAAACTTGCATATGTAATTTAAATACTCCAAACTTTATACTCCCTCGGTCCCGTTGGAATGTTCCCGGTTTGACCTATACACATATTAAGAAAATAAACTTACCAGGGGGTAAATTTTACTGTTTTGACACTTTTTCGACACTGTTTAGCACTGTTTGACACAGTTTTGCACTGTTTGACCCTGTTTTGATGTAGGATAACTTTCCATTTAGGGAAATGGGAACTTTCCAACGGGACATCCAAAAAGGAAAGCGGGAACATTCCAACGGGAAGGAGGGAGTATAAAAAGTTATTTTAGCACCATAACCAAGTATTATTTATTTCAAAAATGTAAATTTATTGTGTTAATTGCATAATTTAAAATATTTTAGAATTAATGAAGACACAATTGACATTTTAAACTTCAATTGAGAAATAAATAACGTTACCGTCAATCTATATAATTGCAACACTTTTAATTTGCTATTTTAAATTATACAATTAACCCCATAAACTTACATTTTTGAAAAAAATAATAATATATGACAATGATGCGAAAATAACTTTTGATATAAAGTTTGGGGTATTTAAATTACATATACAAGTTTGGTGTGTTTATCTCGTTCAAAATTTGAGGTATTTTTATTATTTTTCCCAATTCTAAACTTCGTTAAAATTTCCGGAATCCATATTAGGACACCTTATCAGGTTTGAATAAATTAGTTTATTTGACCGCTCTTTTAGCAAGTGTGAAATAAAACAAATTGTTTTAACTTTTAGGCTCTGTTTGGAAACCAGTGAATTGGCCAAAACGTCAATTATTTTACAAAGAAAACAATGTGTTTTCTAGCGTTTTGGCTGTCAACCACCAAAAAACAAACGATCCCTTAGAATATTTTCTTTTGGACTATTTTCAATTCAAGACCAAATCAAACCAGATCAGGTCAGACCAGACTTCATATTTATAAAATACATAGAGAACAAATATTTACGAGATCAGACCAAAACAGACCAGCAAATTTCAATGTAGGTTTAGTGTGCCATGTCATTGCAATTAGGCATTGTCTTTGTTTGTAACCCTCCAATGCTTGTGGTCTTTTACTGACATGGCAAAAAAAAATTAAACATCGTGAAGGGTGAATTTCACCAAAACATGAGTGAAACATGAATTTCATTTGCCTAACCTCCACAAATCATAATCTCTGAAACGTCGATGTTCCCCTAAAACTTCATCAAATCAGATTTAAAAGTTTTAAACGGCCAAATCGAATTGGCGGACAAGGTTGCCGCACCGCCTGCCCCCGCAGTCCCTGCGGTACCGTCTATTTTGAGGCTCCAGCGTTTTTCCTTCTGTGTTATACGGAATGTATATAAATACTAGTGAGGGCACGCGCTTTGCGCGACGGCAGGTGCCCAACGCTTGATATTATGAAAAAAGCGCTTTGCAAAAAATAGGAATGCAGACACAGCACAAACGAGCCAAAAGGAATTCAATGTCATAAAAACATAAATGTTGGGGGTTTAAACTGCAATTAGATTGCTGGCCCAAAAAAAGCAAACAAAAATATCAGCAAAGCATATAGCTAGGGCATGATAGTTTGGTTAATGGTGCTTGAAATGTGCAGTTGCAAAAAACAGTAAGCTCCAGAGTAAAGGGATAGCATAGTAATTGGATGGATGGAAATTAAGGGCCTTCAGCAAACTCAGTGCGGGCAGTGCTCCGTATTTCATACACACGTGGTTTGCTTGGCAGTTTCTCCACCCTGCATGACGAAATTATAAGAAGCAGTGCCTGACCCCTGCCATGCCTAACGAAGAAAAGAGTGGAATGGCGCTTCAATTCGAAAGTTGTTTTAATCTGGTGGTGCATTGATTGGGGTCCAATGACAAAGTAAGCATCATCGTCGCCATAGAAGATGCGCACGCGGTTCCTCATATTGCTGCATGACTGAAGGAAGGCTTCACACCATACCTGCAACAGGATGGTTCAAGTTTTTGCATAAAAAATACAGAAAACAAGGGTGTGAAATATGTGAAATGTATGCAACGGTCATCTGAGGGTGACATCAAAGGTATGAATATATACATCTTAGATGTTATTTCGCCCGTTGTGGTTTGCCGCTAATTAAATGAAGTGGATTGTTTAATAAAGGGAATAAAGAAGTACAAAGAAAGAGATCAAATATTAATGAATGTATTAAAGCACATACCTTACTCGTTTTCTTGGGCACAAAGAGAAAGGATGGGTGACAATACAAGTGGTTGTATGAATAATCTTTGAAAGAAGACTCCACATAAACAAGGAAGTCATATGTAATTAACAGGATATGATGAAGTTGTGCAAGGGAGAATGAACAAAATGGTACACCATATAAAATGTAGACAGGTATGGACAACCAGAAAAACTTAGGGGGTGAATGAGGTGTGTGGCAGCAAAGTGGAGACTATGTATCAATGTACCTGGGGTATGCAACGGATTTGAAACGCCAATGGATTTGCCAGCCAAGTTAAGAGAAAATCCTAGTTTGTCAAACATGAATACTTCAAAAGTGAAGTTTCCCACATGCCTTAGGAGAGCATATGCGCCAAAGTCAATATTATTTTTGATAAATAGTTCAGCAAAGCCGTCAGTCAAAGCGCAATCATTGAATTGGACATCCCATGAGGTTGTTCCATACACAAGGCGAGCATAGGGTCGCAAATGTTCGAACAGATTCCTGTGCATGCAGGGAGGGATTTTCTGGACAATAATGAGCGTTAAAAAAAAGTAACATCAATGTGACCAGGTATGGGGCAAAAACAAGAGGCAATCACTAAACGTAAAGAAGTAAACATACAGCCAAGTCAATAGCGGGGATGTTAAGCTGAAACCAAACAACGTTGAATTGAAGCACGTCCGGAAAATGAATGCTACGACTTTTCGGACAGGCTGTGTGATTGAACAATAATAAGTAAAAGAGCAGGCATTATAAAAACACATTAACAATCCCTGCTGATATGAGGTATAAGGATATGTGAATAAGGTAGTAGAAGACTGATTAAATCACCAACAATGAATAAACACTAACAAAATATTGATTCTTTTGAATTCAAATTTGGTTCCAAAATTAACAAAGCATCAATGAGAAGAAATCATAGATGAAAGAAAGGATTATACAAAATATACATGCAATTAATAAAAATTTAATCCAGTATTTATATGAAACAGACCTTGACATGGTGTGCAGATAGCAAAAGGGATTTTTTTTATCAAAAGTGTTTAAAGAAATAATGAAAATGCCATAGAGTAATGCATTAAATGTTAAGAGGACGTCAGTTCTATTAATAAGCCCAGGTTGTTAGGTGGGCAGGGTGGAGGGAGAGAGTATGTATATAACCTGCAATTGGAGGCATCAAGGACCCTCTACGCACAAAATGGGTAAGCTTATGCTCAAGTTCATCCTTGCTTCTGAAGTATTTTGGCAGGAGCCTCCAGTAGCCCGAAATTTGCAAGAATCGTTTCCAATCGTCACTGGACTCGCAGGTCTCCTCACCCATGCGTGTTTGTGTAACCACAGCAACCTTGAGCTTTCTCCCATGGACAGTCCTGACGAAGTATGTAAGAGTTTCAGTCTGAGTGTGATGCCCTTCTCTTTCAATGATACAAGAGCTGAGCAAATCCATAGACCCTGAAAAGAACAAACCAATGAGTAAAATATATCCATGCAAACGAAGTGGGAAATAAAATAAAAAATCATTGGGACAGGCGGTACCGCAGGCGCGATGTTGGGGATAGAAGTAAGCGGACATGTCTATACAGCAAGAAAGAGAGCGAATCGTTGGGGAAGATCATACCTGGTTAGCTCGGATGCAGTTGGCAGAGTGACGACGTATTTTGGGAGAGACGAAGGCTGTCAAGGAAGCGGAAGTGAAGAGGCAGAGAGATTAGGTGCGGCGGTGGCAGTTGGTACGGGCTTATAAAGGATAAAGGTCTGTTGGTTTAATTAATTGTTGGCTTAATTAATACAAGTGCTTTTCCTTTTGCCAAAAAACAACCAATTTAAACAAGGAAAAATTGAAAATAATAAGCCCAACTATTGTCGTTCCGTTAACAATAATCTCAACTATTGATTATATTGTATAATCTCAACTATATGGACCGTCCATCAATAATGGTCTATGACTGCATATTACCTGTTTTAACAAGTGATTTTTTTAATAGAAATTAAGCGTAAACATTGAAATTTAGGATTATTTAAAGGGATTACTTACTATATCTCTTTAGAATTTATAAGAATTTATTTACAATCGATTATCTTGGACCATTATTGGTGGAAGGGTCCTACGGTTGGGATTATTTTGAAATAATCGATAGTTGGGATTATTATGAGTAGAGCGCCAATAGTTGGGATCAACACAATTAATTTTTCATTCAAACAATTACTAATTTCAAATACAATGTATATAAATATAGAAATTTAAATAAAAAGGAATTATATGTATAAAATGTGGGAATATTGTTTGTGTTAAATGTGATATTTTATGATTCAAAATAATAAAACTGACGACATTCTATAAAAATGAATGATTTTTGTAGCATACAATTTAAAAATTTATTTCATAAGTTATGGATTTTGGTGACGCGGTTTTGAATAGATTATAATTGAAATCAGTTGAGTCAAATTTAACAGAATCTTCGCGACTATTTTAGCTGATTCTAGTGATTTAAGGAAAAAATGAGAAAATATATTAATTGACGTATTCATGTAAGTTAGAAGTATTTTGTCACAATTAAAAAAGAATTTAATGTGTTAAACCCAAATAACATACTTAAATCTTTTTTATAAATAGGAGATACGAGTCACTTCATCATTCAAGAAAATAAAACTAAAAAATTACAGAGAAAAAATTGAAATCAGCAAAAATAGTAAGTAAATGTTGATCAAAAGAATAAATCAAATGGCCGGGAAAATAAGAGTATAGAATTTCAAAATACCTGCTACAAGAGATGGGCTTCACTTATACAAGGAGATCATTGCACTATTGCCAGCAAATTCTTTTCCCAAGTAGTGGCAGAAGAAGGCGACCATCATTTCCAACAATTGGTTTCTTATTTTAAAATCAAACTTCACAGACAATAGAAGTTCGATCAAACAACAAATCACCTGTAGTAGAATAAAATTAAAATTATATAAATACATGCACATTTGACATAACAACACCACTATAGCACAGAAAGGCGCGTTACACTCAAAATAGTTTCCTTTTGAACAGTAAAACTGACAATCAATGTACTATTAAAGTTTTCCATATTAACCCGATGATAGTTATCAGGAGTATTGGTATATAAATTTCATCCGTAGTTTTAGAGTTACACTTAAGTCACCGTCTAAGACAACCTTTTTAACGGAAGCATATTCCTTTCAACCTATAAGAAACGAAACAACAAAATACTTCCACACAGGTACCACCCTTGGACATTCCTAAAGTGTATGATCCTGAACAATTTAATGGAAAAATGAGGAAACAAGCTTGACCAATGGTTGTATAGCACCATATACAATATGTACGAGCTAGTTGATGCACATATATATCATGCTCTGTGAGAAACCTGACCAAGACGTAATGTTCTATTGCATCCAAAACCAAACAATTGAAGTAATCTTTAGCGTGGCGTCTGTGGTATCAAAAAAACAGATCAAACCTTTTCAAAGTTTGAAAGAAGCTCCAAAAACATAACTTGCCTGATAATATTTCCATTGAAGACAAGCTCATTCTCTATGGACATTTCAAACCGGGAATGGTTGGAAAAGTGAACACTGATTGTCCGGGTATTTTCGATATGAGGGAAACAGCTAAGTGGGATGCGTGGAAGGCTGTTGAAGCAAAATCTCAGGAGGAAATTATGAAAGAATATATCCACAAGGTGGCAGAGCTAGTAAAGGTGGCAGAGCTTGTTGGGAGACAAAAAAACTAAAAACACAGAAACAAACCGCTTGTGCTAAAAAAACTTAGATCGTGTGAGATCCACCGCAAATTGCTTTTATAAAAACTGTATCAGGATGTCTAAATAAACACTGCCCATTGAAATTGCAGACTGTAGCAATTCCACTTCTGTGTGTTAGCAAAACATTTGAGTAAACCTGATCCTGTACTGCAAAACATCTGGATGACTGATTGAAGTTCAGTACTACATATTATAAAACTTGGCAAACAATGAAATAGATGCAACGAAGAGGATGACGGATAACGTTTTACCTCATCATTGTTCCCAAGTTTTTCAAGCTCCTCTGCGAAGACGTAAAAAAAATGCGTTCCATGTATGAGAAGTGAAATTAAAAAGGCCAATGCATTACATGCTTGGGGGGAGAAGAAACGACAAACTACTGGATTGTAAACCACCTTAGAACAGATATACACTTGCTATGCCTGAAAAAGGAGTTATGTTTAGTCACGAAGGTACAAGGTTTTAACTCCGACAAGGTATATCTCTTAAAAAAGACATGGAATCCGTGCCCATGAAGTAAAATATGTACTTCATGGGTAACCTTTCAAGTTATTAAAAAAAACCAAGTGACTGGTAACTTGGTAAACCAAGCCAATAAACTCTCTTAGATATTCATCTAGAATTGCTTTTTAAGTTCTTTGATGTTTTATTAATATGGGTTGAGCAGAAATCCATTAAACAGTGATATTTAATCGAGCTGAAGTAAGAAGTACTGAGAATAGTTACTTGTTGAGTTCTTGTACCAAGATTGTTAAACTCTAGATTTAAATTGTAAAATCGTTCGATTTTACAATTCTACATTAGTATATATTCATTCAAATCGCATGTAAAATCGGAAAATCATAAAATCGTACAAAATAGTAAAAAATCATACAAAAGTCGTGTAGAATCATTTAAAATTGTAGGAATACTGTAAAAAGTTTTTTTAGTGAAATGGTTCAAATTTATTAAAATTAACTACTACAAATTGATATGTAAGCAGAAGATGGACGAAAACCTTCTATATGTACAACTGCAGTAGTAAAAGTAGCGGGGGATGTTTTGCGGCAAACACAGTTTTTGGTGTGTGCAGGAAAAACCATAGATGGTTGCTTAAAGAGTACTCTGTTGCAGATGAGAACACTTAGCTGGCGGTAAACCAGCCATATCTTAAGAATGAATAGGAAAACCAATCTTTTAGAGAAATGAAGGAAATATGATATAGAAAATTACTTACATAATTAATAGGAGATACGAGTCCCGCCTGTAAGCAGAGCATGGCCGGAAATCTCCTGTATGCACAACTGCAGTAGTAATAGCAGCAGGTGATGGTTTGCGGCACACACAGTTTTTAGTGTGCGCAGGAAAAACTGTGGATGATGAGAGCACCTAGCTAACGGAAAACCAGCCATATCTTAAGAATGAATAGGGAAAACAATCTTTTAGAGAAATGAAGGAAATATGACATAGAAAAGTACTTACATAATTAATAGGTGATACGAGTCCCGCCTGTAAGCAGAACATGGCCGGAAATCTCCTGTATGTACAGCTGTAGTAGTAAAAGCAGAGGGGGATGTTTTGCGGCAAACACAGTTTTTAATGTGCGTAGGAAAAACCATTTATTATTGCATGAAATAATGATTCAAAAGTAGGATTTTCTGAACTCGATACATGTTAAAAGGGCCCAACAGAAAGGTCCGAACCATTCCTTATGAGCAAACGGTGAGGCATCATTTAGATTTTAATTTTGTGTTGATAGTTGAATAAGATATGACAAAAATATCAAAAAAAAGGAAAATAAGAAGTGCAAAAGAAAAGCCATGACACAGCAGGCATCAAAAGAGGTTGTGACATGAAAACAACAAGTGGATTCAAAGTGAGCAAAACTGGCTGCATAGCGCCATTATGTACAGGAGTTTACACTAAACCTGCAAAACAGTGTTTGATGGGCCAAGTTGCAGTGTCGCAAATGCGTAATGCACCAGCAAGTAAGGTCATTGTATGACGCATACTGTCAATGAATCATACAAAAGCAACAGGTTGAGGGAAAAAAGCATACAGGCTGCCCATAGTTTGATTTGTGATCCCTTTGCGACATGCACAACCATATTTACATATCAGAGTAGTGTTTGTCTAACAAAAAACATAAACGATATGGAAATTAAAGGTTGTTGTTGTGGCGCTTATTCGCACGCATGCTGACCAGCAACTCATCAGGTGCAACTTCACTGGGTTCTGCTTCCTCAGTAGACTGGTCAGCCTGGTTTGAGGGCAAGCCCTCAAGTGATTCAAAGTTCAGTTTCCTCTTTCGCTGGTTTATGGCAGCGCAGTCCGGAGCAGCAACCGGAGATGAAGTCTGTATTGAAACATGTTCTGCAGCAAGAACTTGTGAGATGCACACCACAGTGTCGGGGTTGCCCTGAAGACCATCCTCATGAGATCTGGTACGCTTTATGCCAGCCACAAATGTCAGTGGCTGAAGTTTTGCATCTAAAGTTTCCAAGTTGGTGTCTATGTAAGGATCCATACATGCATCTTTGAAGAGCGCCAACACGTCATTGGTGAACAAGGTGACATGGATGGACGTAGTGGCATCAGTCAGGGAAGTTTCAAGTCTAAAGCTGTAGGAATAGCAAATCATTAGTATAAGATGATGGATGTGGTATGAGCACGTTTAGGGAAACATACCACTTCATAGTGGTACCCACTTTCTGGCCGCAGAATAGGCACTGAAAAGTAATCCCCTCTGAAGCGTGCAATTTGCGGTTGCAGTAGTCGCAACCAACATAGTAGAACTCTTCTGATGTGTCAGTCAGCGTGAACTTGCCAGTAACCCAAACAACGGGGAACTGCGGGGTAAAAGCATGTGGAGGTAAGCAATCAGGTAAATGAGTATTTTTCAGCAGTGCGAGGGGCGAAAGCGGCATGTATGACAACAAGATGTGCAGGTCGAAGGGACATACCTCATTCAGGCTGGTCTCTAACCCTGAAAGGACTGTTTGTGGCTGTGAATGTGGTTTGGAAATAATAGCAAGAGCGTCATCATGCTTCCTTTCCTGCACCAATGCAGAAACCTTTTCGGCATTTTGGTAAAGCCTATAGCAATGGGGAAAAGGGTGACACCACAGGAAGTTAATGCCTCACAGATGTATGAAAACGTATGAGGGGAGAAGGGGGCAGGGGAGAAGAGAGTGACACCACAGGAAGCATATTGTGACGCGTATACTGAAGTCACCTGCTAACAGTCCGAGACGCTCAGCTGCATCCCTAAACGTGGGTGCCGCAATGCCATCAACAGATTTTAGATTTGCAAAGGAGATTGGGGAGCGCACATTGGACAATAAAAGGCGGAGGTAATAGCGTTCACCCTCGATGGGGTTGACCGAAACAAGCCTGCCAAATACCTCCCGTCTTTTACGTTGCGTCCATTTCCTGTTCTGAGAAGACCACACAAAGTAATTAGGAAATTCAACATACAGCAGATTTAATGATTTAGCTGTTTGATCTGAACTATTCATAGCAAAGAATTGGGTCAACATTGTGCTTAATGATTCAGCGGATCCAGTTATGTAAGTTATACGCTGGTTACCATGGAAGGTGAGGTATTGGGAATTTTCAAGGTGCACTTGCAGCTGGAGTACAGTTGGCTTCATTTCTGAAATTGGAAAACCAAATATTCTCCATGCAGCTTCAGGGACAGAAACCCAACGGGCCTTTTGGAAATTACTAATTTCATCAATCACCTCGCCGGTAGTCACACCCGACAACGCCATACTGACGTGATCGTGGCCTTTGTACACGTACTTGTAGATATATTTAACTGACCGAATACTCGCACAAGCTTAGACATTTATGTGGCAATCATATTTGCGTAGTAGAAATGCATTGTAAGGTACAACCCAACAGTTATCTAGGTCATGTTTCCTCACGTGTACAGTTATATCTGATTCACGTCTCTTGTAGGTAGGAAAGGAGTTTTCATCAAAGGCTGTAACAGGTGAAAAAGTATGTGGGTATTTGCTCCTGCATGACGGCAAGACAGCACCATGCTTCACAACCATACAAGGGCATTGGATGTTCATGGAACCACATGGGCCGTGTATCATATGTTTCTTTACAAGTTGATACAGCGTTGGATCTACTTCAGGATCAGGTATTTCGGCGGTGATGAGCCTGTCGCATTGGGCGGATGTGGAGATTTTATTTGCACGGGACAAGATGAGCAGAAAGTGGGCATGCGGCAAGCCACGTTTTTGGAATTCAATTACGTATGTATATGCGACCACCTTCCCCAGTAACGCCTTTGCTACTATGTCTTTTTTAAAATCTTCAAGACGCGCGCGGAATACGCGGGCCACAAGCTCAGGTCGGTTCTGAACCTCATCAGCAAAGGCAAGACGCTCTTTTATCTCAGGCCAATTAGGATTACAAGTGATAGTAATGAATAAGTCTGGTTTACCATAATGTTGTACAAGCGTCATTGCATCCATGTAACGACCGCGCATATCACGCG